GGCTCTTTTTTGCTTCTCATCTGTAAACTCTGCATACTCATTCACATGATTCAGTTTATTTTGAAAAGTCTCAACAGACTCTTAAGCTTTATTGTGAAAGGTTTACGTGGAAAACAACCAAGCGGACATTGGAGCCACGTGATGGTTTTTACCATCGTTGTTGCTAACGACAGCATGTAAAAACAGGCGCTTGTCCGTCTGTAGTGTGGTGATATTAAACATACGAGAAAGAGAGAACTTCATACAGCCACTACAGTGACCATCAACACGATGCAAAAATATTGCTGTAAACAGTTTATTTTGCAACACCACGAAACAAACGATAGCGTGATAGGAAACGATAGACGTTTTTATATCGTCATCCGATATATATCGTTATATCGAACAGCCTGTACATGGTAGCTCGAGCTGTACATGATGTTCTGCAGATAAAAACTTCTCTTGCAGCATTTTTGGTGCTTTGCTGTATTTCTCTAGGATACATAAAGACAATACTTGCCCCCTCCTATGGTTCCCTCTCATTGTTTTTGGTTTTGTGTGTTATCAGGTCGGACATGAGCCACTCCCTCCCACCCTGGGTAGGAATTTATTTGGAAGACAAGTCTACCAGCTACCTGGACTGTTTGCTTATGGCAAGTTTGATTCTTGATATTTTTATAAATGGAGTTGGTCATAGTGTTACTGTGCTTTGAACGATTGTATGTGGATATTTAACTTTGTAGTTTTTCCACTATTTACAATGTGTTTCAGCAAAACACATCATTGGGATTGATGGAAGAGCCGGTCTTTTCAAAGGACTTGGTCCGAGGCTTTGTGCAGGCACCATTGGCACAGTCGTACACAGCAAAGTTGTGCAGGTAAGCTGAATAGATGTGATCAAACAACCAGTTTCTGTCCAGTCTTTTCTTTGAATTTCTTTAGGTGGTCATTTATTTCAATCATTTGTGATGCATACATAAATGAGCCATGTGCTGGGACTAACAATGGCATTGACTTTGAACTCAGTTTCTTGCCATCCGTGTTGTAAGTGTAACTCAAAGACTGTTGATTGTGGCAGCTTGATAACCTCTATCCTCTTCCAGAAATGTCAAGAACAAGGAACCCCACAGGTAAGTTTTTTTTTTCTAATCCTGTTTGTAGTCACAGTGTGATAAGTTCAAAATGTTCACTGACTCCCCATATGCAACAGTTTGGCCCCCGTCCCCTTCAAGATCCTTTTCCTGTGCAGCAGCGCATCACTTCCTGCATTTCTGTATTAAAATCTGTTCTTTCACTTCTGAGAACTTTAACAATGTGCACTGTATTGCCTGCATCACTTATAGCAGAGCATCTAATACTGTTTTCAGGTTATTTTTGAAAATAAATGTGGTAGAAAAATTT